TTAGTTCATGAAATTTAGTCACTTCATGTGGCTATGCCATGTTTCTATGCCTCTGTGTTAATTTTTCCTACAACATAGTGTGTCCTTTAAATTTATACATTCTGTTCTTCATTTCAGAAAAGTATACTTTTCTCTTAGAATATTTTTATTCTCTGGGGCCGGCCCGGTGGCGCACTGCTACAGTGCGCCGCTTGGGAGTGCGGCGGCGCTCCCGCCAAGGGTTCAGATCCCACATACAGACCGGTTCCCGCTCACTGGTTGAGTGAGGTGCGGGCGCAGCACCGAGGGTTGCGATCCCGTTGCTGGTCCCGGTCCGGTATTGAACTCTACAAACATTGCCCTATAATCTGGCACGGACCATTGCTCTGAATAAGTTTGAGCCCAACTTTACCTCTTTACAAGTGACTTGTGTTTTCTGCCTAGATACCCACAGAATTATTCACTTAGTTCATGAAATTTAGTCACTTCATGTGGCTATGCCATGTTTCTATGCCTCTGTGTTAATTTTTCCTACAACATAGTGTGTCCTTTAAATTTATACATTCTGTTCTTCATTTCAGAAAAGTATACTTTTCTCTTAGAATATTTTTATTCTCTGGGGCCGGCCCGGTGGCGCACTGCTACAGTGCGCCGCTTGGGAGTGCGGCGGCGCTCCCGCCAAGGGTTCAGATCCCACATACAGACCGGTTCCCGCTCACTGGTTGAGTGAGGTGCGGGCGCAGCACCGAGGGTTGCGATCCCGTTGCTGGTCCTGGTCCGGTACGGGCGCGACACTGAGGGTTGCGATCTGTTGCCAGACATGAAAAAAGACAAAAAGGAAAGAATATTTTTATTCTCTATTTGCTCTGCTCTCTACTTGGGGACACCAAGTATATATATGGTGGATTTCTGCTGTGTTTTATCAATGTATATCATTTCTGTGACTGCAGAGTTCTATATAGATAGAAGCATAGTAATTATTATTATAGGTGTGATCCAAATATGGCAACTTTTATCTTCTCAGTTCAGGTCTCAGGTACTAAAAACTTTGTGCATTATCTTTATTTTGAGCATGTGTGTTCATGTGAATATGTAGAATATGATATAGTAGGCTGAGATAAAAGATAACGCAGTGACCAATTTGTTCTCCAAAAACTACAGTAACCAGAGAATAATTAGAACTAATTTTTAATGTTTAACTATACAAGGCAAAGACATAAGCATTTTACATATATTAGCTCATTTAATTCTCACAATAGCTATATAAAATAAGTATTATTATGCCATCATTTAATAATGAGGGGACTAAGCCTTAGAAGGGTTAAATAAATCTCCAGAGTTGCATTATTACATAATAATTATTACATAGGGTGGGTTTGGAACCTGAGTTTCCCAAAGCAATGTTCACATGTTAATCCACTGAATTATCTCTCTGACCCATTTTCTGCTACAGTGGGAAGTTCTGAGGGGGGAAAAAAAAGATGTGTATGCCCCCAAAGGATATTCATACTTTAAGAAGTTAAATTTGTCGATTCTCATGAAGGCACACTATCTTTACAGAAATGTATGTTAGAATTGCAAAATATATGGACTGTAAAACTTCTCTGAAAAGTAATTTTTAGCCACTGCCACCCTATTTCTTTTTTTCAACTGCTCCTTAGGTCTTTTCACTTAATGTCCCAAAAGTCACGCACTTAAGTTCAACATATTTCAAACAAAATTCGTTGTTTTATCCCCCAATAACTATTTCTTCCTCTCAATTCATTCATAGGCACCTCCCTTTCTCTTGCTTTCTACATGCCATTAGTTAGCTTATTGCTTCTGTCTTCCCATTGTCTCATTCTCTTTAATCTGCTCCTTTTCATTCAAGATGTTATCACCCTAATTCAGCCTTTTATTACCACAGGCCTGGAATATTGCATTGCAGAGGTAACTGACTCGTTTTCTGTCCTCTCATGTTTCTGCGCTCTCTCTTCTTTTATCTCGTACATAGGCTCTGACTTGTCTTTCTAAAGCAGTAGTCTCCACACTCCATCAGTAAAAATACTTGAGCATGAATCCCTAGTATATTTGTTTATTTCTAAATAATGTATGCACAGGACTAAATATATACATACATTATAAAATGCACACAAATACAGAAATTTAAAAGAAAGGAAATGAATATTTTTAATATAAATTTTTATTTGATTTCATAGAGTTACAGAAACATTTTTGTTCTTCCTATAATTGAATAAACAATTTGTGATACAGTGACTCACAAGTGTGTTTCTAACTTCAGTCTATTTCAAAAATAGGTTTTGATCGTCATCATAGCTGAAAAAGATATTCTCAAAGATGCACCAAAAATGCATTATTAAGTCATAATATTTATTTTCATCTAGCAATTATGCAAAGTTTTATCAAAATTCAGTCAATAAATTTACTGATGTCAGAGAGTTATTCTTGCAAACTAATTGGAAGGTATTGTAAATCTATGTCTGGAATATTGCTAGGTTAGGTTAAAGAGTGTTTCCATGTTTTTTTTAAGCATGCAGCTATAAATGTTTCATAGGTAATGATACAGTTATATCATTTTCAGGAATAAAGTAATAGTGGAAACATTTTGAAGCATCCATTTTCTTTTTTTTTTTTTTTTTTCCTTTTCTTTTCTTTTTTTTTTTTTTTTTGTCTTTTTCTGTGTCCGGCAACAGATCGCAACCCTCAGTGTCGCCCCCGCACCGGACTGGGACCGGCAACGGGATCGCAACCCTCGGCACCGCCCCCGCGCCTCACTCAGCCAGTGAGCGGGAACCGGTCTGTATGTGGGATCCGAACCCTCGGCGGGAGCGCTGCCGCGCTTCCAAAGCGGCGCACTAGCACAGTGCGCCACCGGGCCGGCCCCTGAAGCATCCATTTTCAAAATGCTCTCTCAATAAAAAGTTTCTTTGCACAAGCAGTTGCTTTTCACTCACTGCTAAACACCACCTTTTCCTTAAAAGTACCGATTGAATGTGTTTATAATTTTAATATCTACTAGTAGCATAGTTTTGAAAGTCATTTGTCATAACAGAAAAGGTCAGAAATTTTGGAACACTAGTCTTTTTGTAAGAGAAAAAATGTGTAGTTCATCTTTAAATTGACAATTCTTAAAAGTCCTTTACTCCCGAATGACCTATGAACCCGTTTGTGCAATTGATTTTTATGGTCTCTCCCATCTCATTACACAGTATTATAAAGATTCTACAATTAAAAGGCCTTGTGTATTTTTTGCCTTTAAAAAAATAAAAAATAAAAATAGTCTTAATGACACCCCGCAGCACACATATTCCTCTCAGGAGAATTTTCTTACCATTTATGACAACTTGACTCATGTATAGACAAGAGTGGCTGTCAGCATCACTCCATATATTAGGTATCAGCAAGGTTTAATTCTTTTAAAGGAAAATAGAAGTTCTAACATTTTTTTTCTGTAGCCCAGGGCAGCATCTAATGCACTTCCAGGAATGAGCACACACACCTGCTTTGAAGCATCGCTCTGATCCTTTCACTTTCTTGCCAGCAAACCCTTGTTATCTATCCATTGTCCATTTATCCTCTGGCAAAGCCCATACTCTTTCTTGATAACATAGCCGCCCCCAGTCCCCTTCTGCCTTCTCAGTGGCACAGCTGAGCCCTTTATAACAGCTGTACTCCAGGCGCAGAAACTGCCTCTGCTCCTGAGATGTAGGGGACCAGTGTCACCGACTCACTGTTTGGCATGAGCCAGTCTTCCAGCTGGGTGCAGTATGACCTTAGCATCTTAGTTCCCAGTTGAGGTTTTCCTGCCTTATGTTCTCATTGCTTGAGTTTGAGTCCCAAACTGAATAATAATAATAATAATAATAGCAAACACTACAGAGCTTGCTCCTTGCCTTCTAAGTGCTTTTCCTATATTAATTTATTTAATCCTCATAACTCTATGAAATAATTCAGTACTAACCCCATTTTACAGAAGATGAAACTGAGACACTGAGGTTACATAACTTCCCCAAAGTCGCTCATTATAAGTGGGGGATGTGAGTGGATTTGATTCTAGGCAGTCTAACTCCAGAGTCTGTAGCATTGGCTGTTTCTGTCCTGCCTCATGCCAACTTGCCATGACTAATTATGGTAGGGGTGGAGAGGTATTTCTAAGCCAGATAGCTTTCAGCCAACAGCATGGCCAAGTTCAATATGAGGCATTGCTGCTTTTGGGTGGATCAGATACTCAAGTTCAAAAACACTGGCATTGGTTGGGAGCTGAAATATGAAAGAACACTGGGAGTCATAGGTGGTTCAAAAGCTAGAGTAAAAAGCAGACGCTGTGGCTGATTCCAAGGGAAACAACCTGGTAGAAATAGGCCAGCAGAGTATATGAATAATAGCCATCAATTATTAATGCTTACTGTGTCTCAAACACTGTCCTATTTGCCTCATGTTCATTGTCCCTTTAACTCACAGAATGACTCTGTAAAAAAGCCATGTCTCCATTTTCTAGACAGAGAAACTGAGGCTTAGAAAATTTAAATAATTTTCCTAATCTCACGTAACCAAGTCGAGTGCTTCATCTAGGATCTGAAGTGTGTATGCTAAAGGGTGGATTGGTGTGGAGGAGTGCTACAGTCACTAGCTTCTTTTTTTTTAACAGAGATAAAGGTTTTTATTTTTCCATCATGCATGCAAGCTTACACTATTTGTACTGTTTAGGAACAGAGAAATAATTGCATTATTACCAGGGTGTCAAATTATCAAGTACAACAACCAGTTACTGATTACTCTGAGGAGGTTATTTTCACAGAACATAACATTTTCCAAAATATATTTCCAAGACTAGAGTTATGAGAACATGACAAGCTGTTATCAGAATCCTAACAGTCACACGAGTCTCCAAGTTACATGAGAAAAAAAGATTGATATTCTGGTAGAGAGTCTCATTTAAGTACCTTATCATATCAGTCTTTGAGTATTAAAGCAGAATGATATCCCTCTCCTTTTGTGGATGCAGAGGGAAAGGAGCATCCCCATCATGTCTTTTTGAGACTCATTAATTCTGAAGACTTTCATTTCTAAAGCCCATCTCTGGAACTTCATTAGATAACATTAAAACAAAAAGCAGAGTTGATGTGATAATGATAGTGCACCCCACCACTATCATCACCAAGAAAGAATATCAGTCTCGCAAAGTATATTGGCATACAATTGCATTGGCATGGTGTCTTGGATTTCCAATAAACAATACAGGTGGGAAGAGGGAGACACAAATGAAACCAAGTTTATCATAACTGACAATTAACGTAACTAGGTGATGGGCACACAGGGTCCAGGGACCATCCTTTCCACTTCTGTGCATGTCTGAAATTGTCCATAATAAAGAGCAAAAAAGTTAAAAAAAACAAAACAGAAAAAGCACACTTTTACAGGTCTATTTTCCCATTAGGGAAAATGGGAAAAGTGGCAAGATTTTTCTCAGAGGCAAAATAAGCAGCATATAGCATTAATCATCCACACACACAAGGCCACACCAGCCTACCCATCAGTCTGGCAGCCAGTAGGGTTCCTGGAAGGCTGGGGTGGGCAGGTGTGTGTCTCATGCATTGGCAGCGGGCCTTGGTCCACAGGCAGTTCTTGAGGTCCTTGTTGACCAGGAAGCCAACTGGGGTGGATAGCAACCTAGACAAAACTCAACAGTGTTAACAGTAATGGGACATGGCACAGACCTTGATGAAGGTTCACAGTACAAGGGCCCAGGGGCAAGAAGAGAAGCATGGTGGAATAGAACACATGGCATACTGCTTACTGCCCTTAACCTTATCCATGCCTAGCAGTCAAGGGCCATTCTGCTGGATGTCCACCAGGGTGGGTCACATGGATTCCAGGTCATTGCCAGAGATAAAGCAGGTGGCACCTTGGCTGGTGACCCCAGACCCATAGGAACAATAACTTCTGGCTGATGGCCAATACCATGTGCGTTGGCTTCATTTTGCAGTGGCAATGGAAAAGCTTGCCATAGATGGCAGGCATGGCCAGCATGAACACGAAGCCCAACAAGTCTCTGGCCCTGATGTAGCAGAGCTTGAGGATGCACTGGTCCTCCTGGAGGATCTCATGAGTGTCCATGTTAAAGACAAGTGGGAAAGGCCAGAGCCAAGAACAGGATCCAGGCAATATAGATAAAGGCAGCACACATCAGAAGTATGTGTGTTTAACATATAAACAGTAGGGATGAGATCACATAACATGTGAAAGTAATGTGAAAAAGCAAGAAGGCCATGGGGAGGCAAAAGAACATGATCATAAATGCCATATTCTTGTAATGTCCAAACGGGCTACAGTGCAAAGAGGCCAACATCAAGAGAAGACAGCCAAACATACAGTCAGCCAGGAACAGGTCCAGCAGGAGGTAGTAGGGAGACTTGCACAGCATCAGTTGGACTGGTTCACCCTAGCCTCAGGGGTATCCACTGGCTGCTTTGAGTGACCTTGCCTGGCCTCCTTTCCTTTCTCTCCACGGGCCGCCTCACTCATAAGGTAGAACTGCAGGGGATTGGGCCACAGTTCCTCGTTAATTATCTCGACAATCTTGTCAGACTCGATGGAGCTGTGGTTTGAAAACCACCCGAAGAAGCTACGGTTGTTTTCTGGGTTTCCCTGGCTTGGAGACTGGAGATCATGCCCTGGGAGCCACTGGATTGGAGTGGAATGAGACACCACCTGACCCAAAGGACCACACCCATATTCCTTGATGAGCACCTTATTTTGGAAATAGGGGTTGCGGCTGAAGTAGAACTTGATTTTGTAGCCCAATCTGGCAAGGCCAAGCTCTTCCACCTCCAAGCTGTTCAAGTAGCTGAGTACCTCTTTATCTTGGCTATTCAGAAAGGATGATAGCTGGGGGTGGTTCTGGAAAGCTTGCCCCCAGAAGCCAGGGATATTCTGGATCAGGAGATTCCTCCGCTCTAAGTGGTGCAGTCGCAACTGCCCAACCTTGTGCGACAGGCGAAGGTAGGCCCTGTCCGCCTTGGCGTTCATGGTCTCCAGCTTCAGCTGGACATTCTCCAGAGTATCCATGCTGCCTTCTGTCCCCGGAGGCCCTGACCATGCATTCTTCTCCACCTTCTTTTCCTCCTCCATTGAGACGGAGGTACACTCCCCAGCCGTCCCTTTCTTCAGCTTTCCACTAGCTATGGCCTGAGGTGCCCTCCCCACGGCACGACGGGTTTCTGGGCCCTTCTTCCCAGCTGGGCCACGCCGATTTCCGATGCGGGGGCCATTTTTCAGCCTTCCCACGGTTCCCGTAGTTCCCACGAAGACAGTGTCTGTGGACAGGCGCTCCGAGATAGAAGTGGCCTTCCCCAGGCCGGGCCTGGTCGCGGCCTGCCCTTGGTCCCCCGCAGCTCGGGCCCAGAGCGCGAGGCCACAGTCCAGGGGGTGTCGGCGGGCAGCCTCCTCCCCGGGCCGGGGGCACGGCGCAGACGCAGCGGTTTCCAGGCCACCCCAACCCGCGCCAGCCGGCACCTGTGCCACCGTGGTGTCTTCCTCCAGCCTCTGGAACTGTGGAGGGTCCGGGTGGTGCGGACCGTCGTCAGGAGAAGCGCGGACTCGGGCTTTGGCGTGGCCTTTGCCTCGGCTTTTGGCGGGGGAGTTCTTCTGACCCCTACTGCGGCTGCTCATGATGGCGGCGGAAACGGCTTCAAAGCCACGCCCCGACTCCGCCCCCTGCGGCGCCAACTCCCGGTCTCTACCAAGCGGGCCTCTCCATGGCAACCGTGAATTTTACTTTCTGTGGTTGTCCTTTCTCTTACGATTCTGGGACAGCTGCATCTGGCACAGACCTCAGGCTGCTTCTACTCATGGCGGAAAGTGGCAGGCAGCCGGCGGGTACAAGCAGATCACATGGCGAGAGCACGCAAGAGAGAGGAAGCAAGAGCTACAGTCACTAGCTTCTACATAACTTCTATTAGTTTGTCCAAAGCCACCACAAATAATACACGACCTAAGGAAAATCAGTGTGTTAACTCTTAAATGCAACTTCAACACCAGACCCCATTCCAACCAGATTGCTGCATTCTCGAGCTACCCCAGTCTTATTCCAGAGGTGGGCTCTTAATGAAGGAGCTCTATATATTTTCACCACTGGGAAGTGTTAGCAGGTAAGAAAGGCAAAGGCGAAAGTACACTTGCATCCTCCTGCCCCCAACTTTGTATCGAGAGCAAGTTTCACAAAGAATCAGGAATTGGTTATGGTGTCTAGTGGCAGCAGCGGAGGCAGAAATGCCCACTCCCAGGGCAACTTTAGTTTCAGCCCTGGGATAGTATCCAATGTTGTGGGGGCCCCTGTTCCGAGCTGTGGCATTCAATGGTTCAGCAGTGGTGGGCACAGTATTATCCTGGACTAATTTATGGCAATATTTAAGTTGTGGTCCTAGTCAGTGCTGGGATCCTCTTGTTCTGATCATTCTCAGAGCCTATTTCTCCATCCTTCTCAACAATATCTCTTTAGTAAATTTCTTTTGTGCTTAAGTCAGCTAGAGTTAGTTTTAGTTACTTGTAACTAGGAACTCTGACTCAACAATGATTAAGTTTGTATTTTCATTGTTTTTAATACGGTGCATCGTATTTCCAAAATTCTATAAAAAATAAACAAAAAGGATTAGTAGCTGAAAAGTAGTTCATTAAAATATTAATACAACCCACAGTTAATATTATACTTAATGGTGAAAGATTGAAAGCTTTCCCTTAAAATCAGGAACAAGCCAAGAATGTCTGCTCTCTATTCAACATTGTATTGGATATTACAGTCAAGGCAATTAGACAAGGAAAAATAAATAAAAAGCATCCAGATAGGGAAGAAAGAAGTAAAACTATCTCTATGTAGATGATATAATCTGATTTATATATATAAAATCTTAAAGAATTCACTAAAAACCTATCTGAACTAATAAACAAGCTTAGCAAAGTTGCAGGATAGAAAAGCAACATGGAAAAATTGATTGTATACAGCAGCAATGAGCAATCCAAAAATGAAAACATTTTTAAAAATTCCATTTACAATGGAATCAAAAAGAGTAAAATATTTAGGGATCAATTTAGCAAAAAAGTGTAAGACGTGTACACTGAAAACTACAAATCTCATTGAAAGAAATTAAAGAAAACCTAAATAAATGGAAAGACATCCCATAGTCATGGATCAGAGGACTTGATATTGCTAAGATGGCAATACTCCAAATCGATCTATAGAATTAATGCCATTCCTATCAAAATATCAGCATTTTTTTTGCATAAATTGGTAAGTGAGACTCAGAATAGCCAAAACAATCTTGAAAAAGAAGAACAAAGTTGGAGGACTCATATTTCCTGATTTCAAAACCTAGTAAAAAGCTACAATAATCAAGAGAGCTAACATAAGGATAGATATATAGACCAATGCAATGGAATTGAGAGTCTGGAAATAAACCCTCCCATTTTGGTCAATTGATTTTCAGCAAGTGTACCAAGATCATTCAAGGGGGAAAGAATAGTCTTTTCAGCAAATGGCACTGGGTTGACTGGATACTCACATGCAAAAGAATAAATTTGGATTCTTATCTCACACCATATGCAACAACAAACTCAAAATATATCATAGTCCTAAATGTAAGAGCTAAAATTATAAAACTCTTAGGAAAAAACATAGGAGTAAATTTTTGTGACCTTGGATTAAGCGATGGTGTCTTAGATATGACATCAGAAGCACAAGTGACAAAAAAATATTAGCTAAGTTATACTTCTTTAAAATGAAAAACTTATGTGCTACCAAGAACACTATCAAGAAAGGGAACAGACGACTCACAAAATGAGAGAAAATATTTGCAAGTCATAATAAGGACTTGTTCTTACAAGGGACTCATATTTAGAATATACAAAGAATCTTACAACTCAATAATAAAAAGAAAAATAACCCAGTTAAAAAATGAGCAAAAGATTTGAATAGACATTTTCCAGAGACAAATACAAATGGCCATATGCACATGAAAAGATGTTCAACGTTATTATTTGTTAGAGAAATGCAAATGAAAACCACGATGTGATTGCTAAAGGGTACAGGGTTTCCCTTGGGGGTTACGAAAATGTTCTAAAATTGATTGTGGTGGTGTTTGCACAAATGTGAATGTACTATAAGCCCTTGAATTGTACAGTTTAAATGAGTGAATCATATGTAGGTGAGTTATATTTTAATAAAGCTGTTGCAAAAAAAGCACAAATGACATGCCACTTTTTACCTACTGGGATGGCTAAAATAGAAAAGAGAGACAATAATAAGTGTTGATAATGTGTGAAAAAATTACAACCCTCATGCATTGCTGATGGGATTGTAAAACAGCAAAACCAGTTTGGAAAACAGGTTGGCAGTTCTTCAAAATGTTAAACATGGAGTTACCATATGACCCAGCAATTGCACTCATAGGTATATTTCCAAAGAAATGAAAACATATGTCCACACAAAAACTGGTATGCAAATGTTCATGGCAGTGTAACAGGCTGAACAGAAGTGACTCCATTTTGTTAAACTTCTAAATTAAAAAGGTTTTCCCCCCTTACTCTTGTAACCTGAACTGCATAGCTTGCAGACAGACATTAGAATGCAATGATTCTTGCTCACATGATTGCTAGAACATAATGACTTTCTCTCACACTGTACACAGAATAATTATAGAAGAAATTATTGATACAGGTGGCCATTCTTTACGAGCTTACTAACTAGATCTTTTGAGGTTAACAGGAACTGAATCTGTGACTTGACTTCATGGAGGATGGTCACCATGAATAAGCTCCCACCCAAGAAGTTCTTTGATGTTTATCTTCAATTTTATGATTATGCCTGCATGTCTCCGCTTAAATCGCCATGAATCAGCCCCCCTTCCACCTTTCCCTATAAAACCTTTTGGCAAGTCCTGGAAAAGCAGAGATGGTCTTTGAGACATGAATCCACCATTTCCCCAGGCTGCCGGCTTCCTGATTAAAAGTTACCTTTCCTTAAACCAACACTTGTCTCTCAATTATTGGCTATTGAGTGGTGAGCAAACAGACCTCTGGGGTTTTGGTAACAGCAGCATTATTCATGATAGCCAAAAAGTGGAAACAATTCAAATACCCATGAACTGAATAAATGAATAAACAAGATGTGTTATATCTGTACCATGAATAATATGTGGCCTTGAAGTTACATACTATGACATGAGAGAATCTTGAAAACATCATGCTAAGTGAAAGAGGTACATATTATGTGGTTACTTTTAAGTTAAATGTTCAGAATAAGCATATCCACAGAGGCTGAAAGTAGATTAGTGGTTTCAGGAGCTGGAAGGCAGGAAGGGAATATGAAGTGACTGGTGAGGGGCACAGAGTTTCCTTTTGGGGTGATGAAAATGTTCTCAATTAGATAGTAGTGATGGTTGCACAACTTTTTATGGAATTGTACACTTTAAAAGGGCAAGTTTTGTGTGAGTTATATGTCAATTAACCTGTTATTAAAGTTTTTTAAAAATCATGATTATAGTAATGTAAATACCACAAGTCAGAATAGCATTATAAAGTTGAATAGTGAACAGGACTCTAACTAAAATATAGTGTGACAGAGTTAGCTCACTAGGGAGAGCTTGGTGCTGACAACACAAAGGTCAAGGGTTCAGATCCCCACACTGGCCAGGCTCCAAAAATGAAAAAATAAAGTGTGACTCTGTATGTTATAGGATAAGCATCTAAAAATATGACTATTTTGTACAACATGCCAAAAAATTACAGTGCAAATCGTTAAAGGGATGACGTGTCTGTAAATTGGATTTTACTGTGTGTGATGGTTAATTTTACGTGTCAACTTGACTGGGCTAACAATGCTCAAACAGCTAGTAAAGCATTATTTCTGGGTGTGTCTGTGAGGTGTTTCTGGAAGAGTTAGCATCTGAGTAAAGAAGATCTGTCCTCATCAATTTGAGTAGGAATCATCCAATCCCATAAGGGCCCAAATAGAACAAAAAATGGAGGAAGGGTGAATTCTCTCTCTGTGTTTAAGCTGGGACATTCAACTTCTCCTGCCCTTGGACATCAGTACTCCTTTATCTCAGGCTTTCAGACTCACATTGAGTTGCATGACCAGATTGCCTGCTTCTCCAGGTTGCAGAGGGCAGATGGTAGGACTTCTTGGCCTCTATAATCATGTTTGCCAATTTCTATAATAAGTCTCTTCAGAGAGAGAGAGAGAGAGAGAGAGATGGATAGATTCTATTGGTTCTGTTTCTCTGGACAACACTGACCAATACAGTGGGCTAGCAATTTATTCATCTCTATTCTTCAGTGCATTGTTTGTTATGAACTTTGCTTCTATATGCACATAAAGCCACCCATGCTTTTTTAATGTCATTTTCGAACAAAACACAGGGACCCCTCTAGTAAAAAAATTATGTGTTTTTTTCTAGGATAAGAACAAAATTAGTGCAGCTATTATGGAAAACAGTATGGAGGTTCCTCAAATAGCTACACATAGAACTGCCATATGATCCAGCAATCCCGCTGCTGGGTATACACCCAAAGGAATGGAAATCATCATGTCAAAGGGATACCTGCACTCCCATGTTTATTGCAGTTCTCTTTACAGTAGCCAAGAGTTGGAAGCAACCTAAATGTTCATCGACAGACGACTGGATAAGGAAAATGTG